TAGCACACCTGGCCCAAAGGGCCAAGTGAGCTTTTCTCACCACTTGGCGTCCGTTGTCCGTCGTCCGTCGTCGTCGTCCGTTAACTTTTATCAAAATCTTCTCCTCTGAAACTACTTGGTCAAATCTAACCAAATTTGGCCACAATCATCATAAGGGTATCTAGTTTAAAAAAAGGTGTCCGATGACCCCGCCTGCCAACCAACATGGCCGACATGACTAAAAATAGAACATAGGGGTAAAATGCAGTTTTTGGCTTATATCTCTGAAACTAAAGCATTTAGAGCAAATCTGACGTGGGGTAAAAATGTTCATCAGGTTAAGATCTATCTGCCCTAAAATTTTCAGATGAATCCGACAACCCGTTGTTGGATTGCTGCCCCTGAATTGGTAATTTTAAGTCAATTTTGCAGTTTTTGGTTATTATCTTGAATATTATTATAGATAGAGATAAACTGTAAACAGCAATAATGTTCAGCAAAGTAAGATCTGCAAATAAGTTAGATGACCAAAATTGTCAGTTGACCCCTTTAGGAGTAATTGTCCTTTATAGTCAACTTTTAACAATTTTTCGTAAATTTTTGTAATCTTTTACAAAAATCTTCTCCTCTGAAACTACTGAGACAAATTTAATCAAACTTGGCCACAATCATCATTAGGGTATCTAGTTTAAAAAATGTGTCCGATGACCCCGCCCACCTACCAAGATGGCCAACATGGCTAAAAAAATAGTACATAGGGTAAAATGAAGTTTTTGGCTCATATCTCTGAAACCAAAGCATTTACAGCAAATCTGACGAGGAAAAAATTGTTCATTAGGTCAAGATCTATCTGCCCTGAAATTTTCAGACCAATCGGGCAACACGTTGTTGGGTTGCTGCCCCTGAATTGGTAATTTTAAAAAAATTTTGCAGCTTTTGGTTATTATCTTGAATATTATTAAAGATAGAGATAAACTGTAAACAGCAATAATGTACAGCAAAGTAAGATCTACAAATAAGTCAACATGACCAAAATTGTCAATTGACCCCTTAAGGAGTTATTGCCCTTTATAGTTAAGTTTTTACAATTTTCATAAATTTTGTAAAATTATGTAAATTTTTACAAAATATTTTCCACTGTAACTACTGGGCCAAGTTCATTATAGATAGAGATAATTGTAAGCAGCAAGAATGTTCAGTAAAGTAAGATCTACAAACACATCACCATCACCAAAACACAATTTTGTCATGAATCTATCTGTGTCCTTTGTTTAATATGCACAAAGACCAAGTTGAGCGACACAGGCTCTTTAGAGCCTCTAGTTATATTAACCTTATGTGACTTCCATTCAAGTTGGTTGGTCTCTGGTGGATAGTTGTTACATTGACAATTATTACCACATCATCTCTTTTTATATTAACCTTATGTGACTTACATTAAAGTTGGTTGGTCTCAGGTGGATAGTAGTTACATTGGCAAGTATACCACATCTTCTTTTTATATTAACCTTATGTGACTTACATTCAAGTTGGATGGTCTCTGGTGGATAGTTGTTACATTGGTAATTATACCACATCATCTTTTCTATATTAACCTTATGTGACTTACATTCAAGTTAGTTGGTCTCTGGTGGATAGTTGTTACAGTGGCAATCATACCACATCATCTCTTTTCATATTAACCTTATGTGACTTACATTCAAGTTGGTTGGTCTCAGGTGGATAGTAGTTACATTTGCAATCATACCACATCATCTCTTTTTATATTAACCTTATGTGACTTACATTCAAGTTGGTTGGTCTCTGGTGGATAGTTGTTACATAGGCAATCATACCACATCATCTCTTTATATTAACCTTATGTGACTTACAATCAAGTTGGTTGGTCTCTGGTGGATAGTTGTTACATTGGCAATTATACCACATCATCTCTTTTTATATTAACCTTATGTGACTTACATTCAAGTTGGTGGTCTCTTGTGGATAGTTGTTACATCGGCAATTATACCACATCATCTCTTTTTATATTAACCTTATGTGACTTACAATCAAGTTGGTTGGTCTCTGGTGGATAGTTGTTACATTGGCATTCATACCACATCTTCTTTTTATATTAACTTTATGTGACTTACATTCAAGTTTGTTGGTCTCTGGTGGATAGTTGTTACATTGGCAATTATACCACATCATCTCTTTTTATATTAACCTTTTGTGACTTACATTCAAGTTGGTTGGTCTCTGGTGGATAGTTGTTACATTGGCAAGTATACCACATCTTCTTTTTAAATTTACCTTATGTGACTTACATTCAAGTTGGTTGGTCTCAGGTGGATAGTAGTTACATTGGCAATTATACCACATCATCTCTTTTTATATTAACCTTATGTGACTTACATTCAAGTAGGATGGTCTCTGGTGGATAGTTGTTACATTGGCAATTATACCACATCATCTTTTTTATATTAACCTTATGAGACTTACATTCAAGTTGGTTGGTCTCTGGTGGATAGTTGTTACAGTGGCAATCATACCACATCATCTCTTTTCATATTAACCTCATGTGACTTACATTCAAGTTGGTTGGTCTCAGGTTGATAGTAGTTACATTGGCAATCATACCACATCATCTCTTTTTATATTAACCTTATGTGACTTACATTCAAGTTGGTTGGTCTCTGGTGGATAGTTGTTACATAGGCAATCATACCACATCATCTCTTTATATTAACCTTATGTGACTTACAATCAAGTTGGTTGGTCTCTGGTGGATAGTTGTTACATTGGCAATTAAACCACATCATCTCTTTTTATATTAACCTTATGTGACTTACATTCAAGTTGGTGGTCTCTTGTGGATAGTTGTTACATCGGCAATTATACCACATCATCTCTTTTTATATTAACCTTATGTGACTTACAATCAAGTTGGTTGGTCTCTGGTGGATAGTTGTTACATTGGCATTCATACCACATCTTTTTATATTAACTTTATGTGACTTACATTCAAGTTTGTTGGTCTCTGGTGGATAGTTGTTACATTGGCAATTATACGACATCATCTCTTTTTATATTAACCTTTTGTGACTTACATTCAAGTTAGTTGGTCTCTGGTGGATAGTTGTTACATTGGCAAGTATACCACATCTTCTTTTTATATTAACCTTATGTGACTTACATTCAAGTTGGTTGGTCTCAGGTGGATAGTAGTTACATTGGCAATTATACCACATCATCCCTTTTTATATTAACCTTATGTGACTTACATTGTAGTTGGTTGGTCTCTGGTGGATAATTGTTACATTGGCAATCATACCACATCATCTCTTTTTATATTAACCTTATGTGACTTACATTCAAGTTGGTTGGTCTCTGGTGGATAGTTGTTACATAGGCAATCATACCACATCATCTCTTTATATTAACCTTATGTGACTTACAATCAAGTTGGTTGGTCTCTGGTGGATAGTTGTTACATTGGCAATTAAACCACATCATCTCTTTTTATATTAACCTTATGTGACTTACATTCAAGTTGGTGGTCTCTTGTGGATAGTTGTTACATCGGCAATTATACCACATCATCTCTTTTTATATTAACCTTATGTGACTTACAATCAAGTTGGTTGGTCTCTGGTGGATAGTTGTTACATTGGCATTCATACCACATCTTCTTTTTATATTAACTTTATGTGACTTACATTCAAGTTTGTTGGTCTCTGGTGGATAGTTGTTACATTGGCAATTATACGACATCATCTCTTTTTATATTAACCTTTTGTGACATACATTAAAGTTAGTTGGTCTCTGGTGGATAGTTGTTACATTGGCAAGTATACCACATCTTCTTTTTATATTAACCTCATGTGACTTACATTCAAGTTGGTTGGTCTCAGGTGGATAGTAGTTACATTGGCAATTATACCACATCATCCCTTTTTATATTAACCTTATGTGACTTACATTGTAGTTGGTTGGTCTCTGGTGGATAGTTGTTACATTGGCATTCATACCACATCATCTCTTTTTATATTAACCTTATGTGACTTACATTCAAGTTGGTTGGTCTCTGGTGGATAGTTGTTACATTGGCAATTATACCACATCATCTCTTTTTATATTAACCTTATGTGACTTACATTTAAGTTGGTTGGTCTCTGGTGGATAGTTGTAACATTGGCAATTATACCATATCTTCTTTTTATATTAAACTTATGTGACCTACATTCAAGTTGGTTGGTCTCAGGTGGATAGTAGTTACATTGGCAATTATACCACATCATCCCTTTTTATATTAACCTTATGTGACTTACATTGTAGTTGGTTGGTCTCTGGTGGATAGTTGTTACATTGGCAATCATACTACATCATCTCTTTTTATATTAACCTTATGTGACTTACATTCAAGTTGGTTGGCCTCTGATGGATAGTTGTTACATTGGCAATTATACCACATCATCTCTTTTTATATTAACCTTATGTGACTTACATTTAAATTGGTTGGTCTCTGGTGGATAGTTGTAACATTGGCAATTATACCATATCTTCTTTTTATATTAAACTTATGTGACCTACATTCAAGTTGGTTGGTCTCTGGTGGATAGTTGTTGCATTGGCAATCATACCACATCATCTCTTTTGATATTAACCTTAGGTGACTTACATTGTAGTTGGTTGGTCTCTGGTGGATAGTTGTTACATTGGCAATCATACCACATCATCTCTTTTTATATTAACCTTATGTGACTTACATTCAAGTTGGTTGGTCTCTGGTGGATAGTTGTTACATTGGCAATTATACCACATCATCTCTTTTTATATTAACCTTATGTGACTTACATTCAAGTTGGTTGGTCTCAGGTGGATAGTTGTTATATTGGCAATTATACCATATCTTCTTTTTATATTAAACTTTTGTGACCTACATTCAAGTTTGTTGGTCTCTGGTGGATAGTTGTTACATTGGCAATCATAGCACATCATCTCTTTTTAAAATAGTTTTTTATATTTGTTATATTTTGCAGATAAAGTATTTTGGCCAGAGGAAACAAGAATTCAGGAAACTTTCAAAAGAATGTCAAAATATGGGACCATAAGACGGGAAGACCTCTACCTAATTTGGGAGCAAAAAGATTTCAGTGCAATTTTACCATACAAAGAGTTTATATTTAACATCCTAATTTATTTAGATATCTTGGCAGAGCAAAGGAGATATGATACAACTACAGGAAGTCGCTTACCAGTGGAAAACTTCTTTGTTCCCTGTATGGTTACAGAGAGAAATACTACCAACTTCATGGACAAAGAGTGTACACCAGAGAGAGCTATATGCTTAGCGTTTCTTTTTAAAGGGACTATAATACCACCAGCTTTACCTAATCGTCTGATCAGTGCATGTCTGAGCATGTGGACCGTCAAGCAGTACGGAGGAAGAAAACTCCTGTTTTCAGGATTTATTGGTTTATCCTTTGACAAGTCACATGATATTGTTGTATGCGTTGAAGGCAACAAGATTCTTCTTTTCATCGTCCATAGAACCTCCGCTGGACTTATAGTACCAGATATAGCTACTGGTGTCAAAGAATGCTTGGTTATAACAATGGAAAGAATTTCAGATTTCTATCAGTCCACAATCCATGCAAAACGGAGCCAACAATCGCCATTTCACATTGAATATACATGTTCAAATTTGACATGCTTCATCAGTGCAGAAGAAGCCAAGCAGACTAATGGATGGATTTGTGACAAACATAACCAAACACACAAAACAGGACACTGGCGTGTTTGGAATCAAGATCAGGTGTGTATTACATATCAAGGAAAAAGTAAATGGACAAATGAGTAACATATGCAAATCTGCACAAACAACTTATTTTATATATATATATAGCGTTGAGCCCTATCTGGCAGACTTTGTATCAATTTATGTTTATGAATTTCTAATTATGCTGCCTAAAAATGCTTTTCAGGAGCAAATTGTAATCGTTTTGTTTGTCCATTCATCTAAAATTGAGAATGGAAATGGGGAATGTCTGTTTGTCTGTTCTTCTGTCCCTCCGTGTATCAAACGTTTTTAACTGATAACTTGAGTATAACCTTGCTTGATTGAAATACAGATGAAAGATATAGCGAAGGAAAAGAAGACTATATATTTTTTTGTGTCAAATAGACAAATTTTAAGGCCACCTTCACTCTTTTAAGAAGAATGAAATTGATAAGCAGCAACCCTTGTCAAGAAAATCATGATATGCTTCATATGCAAGGGGTGCTGGAATGGTGCTAAATATCAAGGAAAATATAACAAAGGGGAAGCTGAAGTCCTCTCTAATAATGTAAAGTTTTGTTCTCAATAAACTCATCGTAACTGGCAGGATTAAAATTGTGCATGCCAGACACGCTTTGCGTTTACAAAAGACTCATCATTGAGGCTCGAATCAAAATAAGAAGTTGAAGAGCATTGAGCATTATTTCAAAAAGGTTTTGCCAAATACAACTAAGGTACAAGTAATATATTCCTGGCACTGATAATAGGTTTGAAAATATCTAATAATTTGGCCTCGAGTATCACTACTACTGAATAGACATTAATTGTTGTTGAAATAATCTGTTGCAGTAATAAATATAGGTACCGTTAATGCTAGTTTCTGTATGAATGTTTGTACAAGGTATTAAAGGATGGCTGTTTAATACCAGTTGAATAAAATATAATGTGCATTTAAAACATACTTATAATATATTATTAGAATCTGCCATACATTTCATTCAAAATAATAATTTGCATATTCATTTTTCTGCAGACTAAAGAACAGTGCGAAGAGGATTGTCAAGGTAAATATTTTGTCGCTTCAAAATAATTCCAATCTGTAGAGACTTGTGTTGTGAAACCTGTTAATCTGTTTGTTTACGTGTCCATCTATGTACTTTAAATGGGGGAATTTTTGTGAGATCTTGAAAGAGGATATATATGTATAAGAGATATCTTTGTTAGATCTTCTGTACCACCTTATTAATGCTGGTGATCAAAATGTACTTGTCAAGTTTCTATGATGGAATATCTAGAATTTTATTCGCTGTGATATCTATTTTTAGATAGTATCGCACAGCTTTCCTGAATTATATTAAATGGAATATTGTGTGTGTGAGAGAGATAGAATCAAAAATCAAAAATGATTTGACTTTTCAAGCACAGTGTATTCTTTTATATCTGGTTGATGCTTTAATGTCTTTGTGGTACATATTACATGTATGTAAGTTATATCATTATGATCGCTTTTCATAATTCTGCACTTTTTTCAAGCACTTTTCCTCATGTTTTGCTTGTTGAGTAATTGCACACCCTAAAATCCTCTGCTTTTATAAGACGTATTTCTGTTCTAATGATGGTTATGAAGGTAAAGATCATTATGCAATGTTTATTTCAGGTTTAAATGATGATGCTTTGAGCAAGACACCAAGTGATATTGAACTTCTGCGTTTTTCAAACCACTGTGAATCAAATCAAATGCATGAATTAGTTACACATCTTGGAATGGTAAGGATATGGAAAGATGTCGAATACAATCATCCTAAAGATATACAGGTTGCCAAATTTTTGCTGTTATCAAAGTGGAAAGAGATAAAAGCTAAATGCAATTTCAAAACTTTGTCAGAAGCTCTGATCAGCATGGGTATATCAACCCATGTTTTGTGTCAAGTAAGTTTGTACATAGTTTTTAAAATACTCTTTCATTTCACCTTTGAATGAAAAATTGTTAATTTTATTATCCTTTTAAAGACAAATGTATTGAAATTTTCCAATAAAAATTATAAGACACCAAGGTTTTAATCAAAGTAAAGAAAAGTAAAAGGGAAAAAAGAAAAGATGTAAAGTCAAACAGGAGTAATTGTAACACTACACATGTAATCAAAGTACAAGCAAACAACAGGAACCCATCAAAACACCTAGGGTTAACTCTTGTCCACTGAAATGGTGAGACGGTCTTGCTCTTCTGTTGAAATTCATAGTCTTTCTCGTGAAACATGCAAAGAATAACAATATGTTAGCCATTGAATGCACAATTTGAGAGTAATAGAATTCTTGGAAATCTAATATATTGAAATTCATGAATAGGAATTAGAAAACGGTGGAAGTGCTGCTAAAGACCAAACTTATTGGTTGTCAAACTGACTAATGCAGAGCAAGTTGTATTCTAGCATTTATAATTTCAACGTTTGCCTTACAAACAAGCTAACAAAGTGTCTATTTCATAATAACTCTGTCGTATGTCAAAATATATGAAATAGATATACTTTTTCTGTTTGTTTCAGTAAATATATAACATCAAATATTGAACATTGTCAATAGGGTTTTAATCTTTGTTTTGTAAATACATAAAAGCAAATATTTAATTTTTGTTTGCAGGTAAGAAGAATCATCAAAGCAGAAACAGGTAATTAGTAATACAGTCACCTAATAAAATTGAGAATGAAAATGGGGAATGTGTCGAAATGACTACAACCCGACCAAAGAGCCGATAACAGCCGAAGGCCACAAATGCGTCTTCTATGCAGCGAGAAAAGCCCGCACTTGGAGGCGTGTTTCAGCTGGCCCCTAAACAAAAATGTATACTAGTTCAGTGATAATGGACGTCATACTAAACTCCGAAATATGTAAAAGTAACTAAAGTTAAAAATCATACAGGACTAAGAAAGACCTGAGGCTCCTGAATTGGGACAGGCTCAAAAATGTGTGTGGGGGGGGGGGGGGGGTTAAATATGTTTTTTGAGATCTCAACCCTCCCCCTATACCTCTAGCCAATGTAGAAAAAAACAAACACACAACAATACTCACAGTAAAACTCAGTTTAAAAGAAGTCTGAGTCCGATGTCAGAATAGGTAACAAAAGAAACTAAACAAAATGACAATGATACATAAATTAACAAAGGACTTCTAGCAGTTACTGACATTCCAGCTCCAGACCTCAATTAAACTGATTGAAAGATTATGTCTTGATCACATCATACCTAAGGTGAACAGCTTTACTTTTAAGCTCACCTGGTCCAATGATCCAAGTAAGCTTTTTTTTATCACTTGGCGTCCATCGTCTGCTGTAAACTTTTTCAAAAATCTTCTCTAAATCTACAGGGCCAAATATAACCAAACTAGGTCACAATCATCAATTGGGTATCTAGTTTTGAAATCTGTGTCCGATGACCCCGACTGCCAACCAAGATGGCCGATATGGCTAAAAATCAAACAAAGGGGTAAAAAGCAAGTTTTGTCTATTATAATTAACAGAGAAGATCTGACAAGGGTAGACATGTTCAGAATCATCAGACTTCTTATTCGAGTTATTTTCCTTTAATGACAGTTTTTTACCATTTTTTTGGCGTTTTGTCTTATATGATGAAACTTATAATAGATAGATAGATAGAAACTCAAATAAGCAAAAGTGATCAGCAAGACAAGATCTACTAACAAGTCAAATGTTGCCAATAAAGTAAGTAGACTGTCACTCTTTATAGGAATGACTGCCAAAAGATTAGGATTGTTTTTACTCTCTTGTGTGTTTTGAGCAAAAACTAAAGAAGATAGAGAGAAACTAAACAGACTAAATGATCAGCAAAACAAAATCAACAAAACAGATGTTTGTCGTGAATTCTATTCTTGTCTACAATGTTGGAGAGTGTCCATTGTTGAATATTCATAAAGACCAAGATAAGCTTCACAGACCCTTTAGAGCATCCAGTTTGTTTCGCGTTGATATGAACCTAATATCGTGATAGACACAAATAACACTAGATTCATTCTATTTACTGGGCTATAGGCTTAATTATCAGAATGACAAGCATTAAGAGCAAGGTACTACTTATCACCATGAGACAGGCATAATTATCAGACTGACAAGCATTAAGAGCAAGGTACTACTTATCACCATGAGACAGGCCTAATTATCAGAATGACAAGCATTAAAAACAAGGTACTGCTTATCACCATGAGACAGGCTTAATTAACAGAATGACAAGCATTAAGAGCAAGGTACTACTTATCACCATGCGATAGGCTTAATTATCAGAATGACAAACATTAAGAGCAAGGTACTTCTTATCACCATGAGACAGGCTTAATTATCCGAATGACAAGCATTAAGAGCAAGGTACTGCTTATCACCATGATACAGGCTTAATCATCAGAATGACAAGCATTAAGAGCAAGGTACTGCTTATCACCATGAGACAGGCTTAATTATCAGAATGACAAGCATTAGGAGCAAGGTACTGCTAATCACCATGATATAGGCTTAATTATCAGAATGACAAGCATTAAGAGCAAGGTACTGCTTATCACCATGATACAGGCTTAATTATCAGAATGACAAGCATTATGAGCAAGGTACTACTAATCACCATGAGACAGGCTTAATTATCAGAATGACAAACATTAAGAGCAAGGTACTACTTATCACCATGAGACAGGCTTAATTATCAGAATGACAAGCATTAAGAGCAAGGTACTGCTTTTCACCATGAGACAGGCTTAATTATCAGAATGACAAGCATTAAGAGCAAAGTACTACTTATCACCATGAGACAGGCTTAATTATCAGAATGACAAGCATTAAGAGCAAGGTACTGCTAATCACCATGAGACAGGCTTAATTATGAGAATGACAAGCATTAAGAACAAGGTACTGCTTATCACCATGAGACAGGCTTAATTATCAGAATGACAAGCATTAAGAACAAGGTACTCCTTATCACCATGAGACGGGCTTAATTATCAGAATGACAAGCATTAAGAGCAAGGTACTGCTTATCTCATATCATTCAAATTTTCACAGATCAATGAACTTAACAGTATTTTAAAGTTATTTATTTTTTTTTTATAAAATGAGTTAATGTTTCAGATATTCCTGCAGATTACTTGGATTTTATTCCAACAGATGAGATTCTAGATGCATTAGCTCCACAAATTGGTCAGGTTTTTTTCCAACTTGGCACTGAAATTGGGCTATCAATTCCTACCCTGGAAAATATACAGAGTAATAATCCTTCTGACTTAGCAGAACAGAATAAGGTCGTATTATTTAAGTGGAGAGAAGACCAACTAGTCAAACCTACAATACGGGTCCTTATGCAGGCTTTATTTAACATTGGGAGAGGTGCACGTTGTTTAGAAGAAGTTTTAAAGAATGTTGATCTGAACACCCTTATAGTTTCACAACAATGGAGAGGTAAAGGGGCAATTCAAAAGAAACCAAAAATCAAATCAGAACAGAAACCACAGAGTCAGCGAAAGGTGTCAAAGAAATGTTCAATAGCTTGAAATTAGGCACCTTAAGAGAATGGTCAAAACAAGTGTGCGTTTGAATAGGGAAAATATACTATAGGCGAAAGAAGTGAAAAATATTGTGCATAATTTAGCCTCATTGTTTGAAAGTTTCTATTAGTTGTTACTTTTGTATTTCATTTGTTCCATATTTTTTATTTTTAGGTATTAGGAAGGTCTGTAAGCAAAACAGTTGCAAATTCCTTTTGACATCTTTCTCCTCTCTCATACTATTTACTTCATGAGCATTCAACAGATCCATTACCTGTTATTTGAATTGGTTTGTTATAACCTTTACAGATATTCTTCTCTGAAAGCACTAAACTTTGAATTATCTTTCTGATAATATTTTTAAAAAAAAATTTATCAGACGACAATTCAAGCCAGCCAGCAAGATTATTGTTATACAAATACAATGTTTTTGGTAAATTGTTTTGTTGAAATAAGACTGTTAAGTTTTCTCAAATGAATGATTTTTCATGCCTATACGGAATGGGTTTTTCCCATTGTTGAAGGCCGTACGGTTGTCTAAAATTGCTTACATCCATTTCATTTGAACATTGGTTTTATAGTTGTCTCATTGGCAATCATACCAGATTTACTTATTTTTATGTTATTTACCATACAAAATATAACTCTAACAGTATATAAAGGCTGTGAATTTAAATAAAGTTAAAATTATTTGACCAAGTACTCTTATTTGTGTTAAAAATATTTACAAATCTTATTTCAGATTATAATTGTTGGTGATCTTTTAATCCATACAAATATCAACAAAATAATAGTTTCTTGCAAATAACGAGCTTGAACTGATTTCAAGATTATATTTGTGCAATGACAAGAGTTGACATATTTAAAACTAATTTATGCATTTAGTAAAAAAAAATCTGTTTTGAAATCTTTCAAAGACCTTTTTTAAAACACTAATGTGATGAGCTTTAAACCATTCAATGTACAAACAGCTAATGGTAGGATACAATAAAAAAAATATGTTCACATAATCAAGCGCTACCAATGTTAGTAAATTGATGCTTTTGTGGAAATTGATTGATGACCGCAGCTATCACTGCTGAGTAGTAATACGTTTAGAATCGAGGTGATGTTTGTTCAAAGAAATTTATTGACACAAGTGGTTTATTGGATTTTTTTTTCTTGCCTCGATGAAGGTAAAAGAAGCAAGACTAAGGCGTGCTGATTGTGCCAGCGGAATCAACAATGTATTAATTTGTTGTAAGTCAGTTTATGGGGAACCAATAGTGGTAGGTCAATGATTTTTGGTAAGCAGTAATTTAAGCACTGGCACATCTTATTTGGCTCCTCCCCCTCCTCTTTCCCTCAGTGATGGTCTACTGACTTTAAATCTTTGCATAGTTTACATGTTAAGGGTTGTGATTAGGTCAGTTTAATCAATAATATTTAGTAGTAGGCAGTTGTATTAGCATTTGTATATCTCATTTCCATGGAGATTATATATTGTCCCCTTCATATTGAATACATAACAAATAAGACAGGCATTATTTTTGGGTAATATTCCTACAACCAATTATATAATGTTCTAAAATTCTTTAAATGGAATGTTATTTGCATCTATTTATGTACTCATGATATCAACATGTGATAAGTATATGTTCACAATATTGCTACATATATGCAGCCAATAATGTTAATTTCACTAGCATTCTATTTATTTACAAGGAAGCAACCATTTAACTTCAAGGGAGATATGGTTTTTTGTCCGAGTCAGAACATATATTTTTTTAGTTTTTCGACGCTATCAATCAAATAATTTTTTGTCAAAATTTAACACTATAAGGTATGGGCAAAATCTAAATTCAGAATTTTTTTTTTTTGTCATCTGCTTGACCGTAATTTTTTTTTTTCTCATTAAATTTGAAATTGGGATCAGAAATTTTTTTTTAGAAAAAACCATAACACCCCCTTGAAGTGAAATGATCGTTCCCTAAGGATCCCAACACTGTTATTTTCACCAGGATTCTGTTTACCTATTAGGATTTCTTATCTCATTATGTTGGCTTACATTGCAATTTTGTCATATGATTAATATGTCCAAGGGACATAACTCTTTTAACAATAGTTCTTCCTGAACTGTTAACATAAGAGTGAAAATAATTTGATAGTTTACAGTTAGGTATTCCACATCCCACCGCAAACCACCTTCTTTCTGCATAAAGAAGCACAATGCACTACACATGACACAAGAGAGTATTAGAAGAGCAAAAAGGACCAAAAATTGTATATTAAATGCAAAACAAATGTTATTCTTTAAGAAAAAAACTTTTTTGATACTAACTACTTGTGTTTTGTTGGTGACAGAAAATTTACAAAGTATACAATTACTTTATAAGGTAATTAAAGATTCCTGTTATGTTGTATACATATATATAATGGGCGCTTTCCAAAAATTAACAAGAATATAATGACTAGTAAAGGTGACTATTTATTTTCAAGGGATATGGTTTGACTATATGGTATTTTTGTTTGTTTTTTTTTATGATTTTGTTTATTTCTGGTGCATAAATTATCCCTGATTATTGTTAAACAAGCAATATTTAGTACATGAAGATGTCACTTATTCACAGCAATATAATATGTTATTGTTAAAAACGAACAAAAGGATTAGACCCTCACAATTTTTTTTAGCATAAAGATATATAAATATTGAATAAAAGAACATAGTTCCAGTGTCCCCTGCGTTGCACATATTTTATCTGTCCAAGGGCAATATCTTAAAAAAAATTTGATGTGTTCTTTCAAACTTTTTATAGATATCTAAGAGAAATGTAGGCTTACATTGCAATTTTTCATATAATTAATATGTCCAAGGGTCATAACTCTAAAAATAATTCTTTGGCACTGATTTTCAAACTTATCTGAGACATTGCTGTCATAACCTTTGATATCAATTTCATTAAAATCTGGCAAGAACTGTATACTTGAGAGCGCTTACAATGTAATTTTTGATATTATTGATGTTTCTGTGAGGCACTACTGTTATAAAATAAGATGTTCGGCACTGAATTTCGAACTTGTCCGAGACATTGCTCAAATAATCCTTTGATGTCAATTTCACAATAATTTTAGAAGATCGAATTGTACACTTGAGAGTGCTTACAATGTAATTTTGTACATAATTGACATTTCAAAGGGGTATTACTTTTTTAAGAACAGTTGATTGGCACTGATTTTCTAGCTTGTCCAAGAGATTACTTGTATAAACCTTTGATATCAATTTCATAAAAATCTGGCAATAATTGTACTACAATACCCTTCCCTTTTCACGAATGTGACCTACCGAATAAGACTATTTACCGGATTTGTAATAACATAAGCAACACGACGGGTGCCACATGTGGAGCAGGATCTGCTTACCCTTCCGGAGCACCTGAGATCATCCCCAGTTTTTGGTGGGGTTCGTGTTGCCTACTCTTTAGTTTTTCTATGTTGTGTCATCTGTACTATTATTTGTCTGTTCGTCTTTTTATTTTTGGCCATGACGTTGTCAGTTTGTTTTCGATCTATTAGTTTGACTGTACCTCTGGTATCTTTCGTCCCTCTTTTTGTACATATGAGATTGTTTTCAATGCAATTTTACGAATAATAAATATTCACAAGGAACATAACTCTTTAAAAAAAATCACCGGCTCTGATTCTCAAACTTGTCCAACATGTGGTGGTGATATAAACCTATGATATCAATTGCTTAAAAATCTGGCAAGAGTTGTACACGGGAGAGCTCTTAGAAGACTGGACCCCACAATGCATCGCGCAGTGGACAATTACAAAGAATTTAATTAATCGAATCAAGACATAGTTTATTAGACTAATTTACTAGCTTCATTTGATTTTTAACTTTTCATGTTTAAAACACAATATAATCTGCACAACCTTTGAAGACACGAAATATTTTGTTCTTAAACGACATGTTTTTAACAATTTTGTCATTTATTCACAAGTTTAATATAAAATCAGACATGAAATTCTATGCAATATTTTCTGGTTAGAATTCAAAAGGAAAAACAAAAACAAATGTCAATACATTACAAAAAATGATAAAAAAATATTCATTTTAATCTTTATTGGGACTTATTTCAGGTGAGTTTTTTATAATTTTTTCTTACACTCTAATAACTATTGAAGACACAATTCGATGGCTGTGTGTACGAACAAAAAGCATTTTTACAGTATAGGTGTTGAAAAACAGTTATTAACATACAATTCAAGAACTTTTCCAGTATGTCCTCCCAAATGTCTAGATATAATTGTTTTTATAAAAGTTGTGAACATTACAAAAATGAATCTAGAGATTTTATCAAGCTATATATTTACGTGGGTAGTTAATTATTATCGGAAAATGGGTTCAAAAAGCAAGTTTTTTTCCTTGCACTGATGAGAAAAGAGAAGTTTTATATTAAAATGTTTTCTGATTAAAAGGGGTATGCAGGTTATCATTCCACGAGATAGCAACCCCAACTACAAAAATAGACGGAAGTATACTTTATCAACTTCCAATTATTATTTATTAGTCCAATTTTCATTTCAAAATGTGATTATTAGGTAGTCGTAATTTATTGTATGGTTTAAAATAATTATTTGACTTTTTCTTTTAGAAATATTAATATGACTAGGCAAAAAAATCAAGTACCAATTCAGGAATATGGCAGTGGTTAATGACAGATTATCCATTCGTTTGATGTGTTTGAGCTTTTGGTTTTGCCATTCGATTAGGGACTTTTCGTTTTTTGTCCTTTGCGGTGCATTGTGGTCCTTTGTGGTGTATGTGTTCCTTTGTGGTGCATTGTACTCCTTTGTGGTGCATTGTGGTCCTTTGTGGTGTGTGTGCTCCTTCGTGGGGCATTGTACTCCTTTGTGGTGCATTGTGGTCCTTTGTGGTGTATGTGCTCCTTTGTGGTGCATTGTTCTCCTTTGTGGTGCATTGTGGTCCTTTGTGGTGTTTTGTGCTCCTTTGTGGCGCATTGTGGTCCTTTGTGGGGTTACACTAAAGACCTGAAAGTGGACCTGAAAAGACCTGAATAGACCTGAAGATATACGACTCAAATTATTCAAATTGCAATATTTTTTTTATTATTCAATGGAATTTCCTCAAGTTAAAATTTTATTAAATGTTAATATTCATATTTCATTAAAAATTATTTTTTTTAAATAAAAAACTATTTTTTGATGCCAAAAGTTGGACCTGAACGGGGAAAAGAAAAGACCTGAACGGACCTGAAAATCTATGGTCGGACTTATTCTAACTTTAATAACGTTTTTAATATTCGATGGATATCGATCAACTTTAGATTATGTGAAACCAGGAAGATATACTGTTCCCAGGTGAAACTAAAAGTTCAAATTAATGATAATATTAAAACAAATATACGAAAAATATCGTTGGGGTGTCAAAACTCGGCCCCGAACGGAGAATTAAAAATCTGAATGAGCCTAAAATTCCGCTAATATTACATAGTACTTCAGTGGTTGTACTATGTAGCTCATTGTTGAAGGTCTTATGGTAACCTATAGTTGATAACTTCTATGTCATTTGGTTGCTTGTGAGAGTAGTCTCATTGGCAATCATACCACATATTTTATAATTCTATTGTATGTTTGTGACAAAACTCGGACGTGCTGAATGAAAAATGAAAAGTCCTGAATGAACATGGATATAT